TAAAATTATAAAAAATAAATAAAATTAAAAAATTTAGTTTGAGGGGACCAACTTAAGTTTATTTAACATAAACACATACATACATATATATACATATATATATATATATATGTACCGAAATATAACATCATAGTCAAGGTGTTCATTTCATCTAGAAGTTGATAATTTTCATGACAGAGGCAGTGATATTGACATTGCCGGCAAGACCAACTACCATGATTTCCATGTATGATTCTAGGAACAATAGTCTCTCAATTAGTATGAATCCAGCAATAGAAGTCAAGGTGATGATGGTGATCAAGCTAAATGTAAATATTATGGTGGTAATGACAACAGTCGAAGACCGATGGTGTTATGAAAGGAAACAGGGTGTTTAATGGAGGCGGTGATGGTGCTCAAGATAAATGAACATAATATAATGTCCACCGAATAACACAATAAATATATATTAGTAGGAACAACCCTTCCCTTCCGTATATTAGTAGGTGCTCAAGATAAATATTATGGTGGTAATGACAGCACTCAACGACTGAACGAAAAGTGACAGGTATCAAATTGATGTTGGATGAATAGAAGATCGTAGATAAAACAGGGTAACAGACTTCCTCTGTCCTGTAATTGAGGGTTTTTAGTTTTTCCTAAAGGGATGAGATTGGAGAATTACTAATATATATTTATCTTGAGCACCTACTAATATATATTTATTGTTTTTAATTTTCTTTAATCAGGATTTTTGGATAATAGATTGATTTAGTACTAACTTGTTCCCAATAAATAGCAAAGAATAAATGTACACAAACAATAAAAGCAACATATTTCTATTTGAGTCAGTTACCTCAATGCAAATGACTGATGTCACCTGAGCACCCATATTTACAACTCAGGCTGTTGATAGACTGTTCCCAATAACTGCCTCCAGGCCTTCCTGAGATCATCATATTTGAAACAAATTTTACACATCAAAGAGTAATTTACTATTTCAAGAACATTTCTACTGGTAAAGCTGGGAAAAGCAAATCTCATGAAATAAGACCACAATCAGTAAGAATGAGAACAAAATATGATAGCAATGCAGGATACTGTTATTTTATTACCACAAAATGATATCAGCATGGTTCTTCCGTTTATAAATTTGAGTACATATATGACATTAATACAAACTTGTATACATAAGTAAGAACACATGCATATGTATAGACTGTAAATGAGACAGACAATTTCAAGGCGGAAACCACTTGTGTTTAATCAGTATCGTTCCTATGAAGGCAGAACAAAAGATCCCTAAAATGGAGCGCCTCAATCATCCCACAACAAACTTATACTACACAAACACAAATCCGTCGAACACGCATGAGCAAAAATTAAATCAAACAACTGTGGAATCATCACTCTAAAAGATTTCCAACTTGCCAAGGTAACTGGGAAAGTGCCAGTATTAACAAAAGTAATAACTAAGTACTACTTAGGCTGATACATCATTCAGTTTAATGCCCATTATTGAAACTTGATTTATATTTGCACCTAAGAAGTATGAGAAGAATTTCTCACCTGGTGTACTACTGCTGAGCTAAAGTGCAAGTCTTGCAGTAAAATTGATACGATCTCCTTTATCTCTGCTTGTAACAATCCACAAAATTGTAAGTACAAAATATCCCATATAATCTACAGCATCTAAATCGCAACAGATATTCAATCATTTTGGAATTTAAACCAAGTTTTAAATTTTTATTATTGTTATTTAATATATATTTTTTATTGGATCAAATGAATGGAAACCCTAGTATAATTTTCTCAAATTTAATTATTGTGAATCTTGGTTTCTCGAAGGAGCTGTGATTATAGTATATTAGCATTTGTTGGTTAATGGACATATTATTGATAGTTATATATTAGAAAGGGGATTAAGATAAAGTTTATCATTGTATAATATTGGTTAATATTGAAATTTGTCATTATATTATTTTTATTAAATTTTATCACTATATATAAATATTTTTCAATTACATTCACTGTCATTCACTGCATATTTCATAAATAATCTAATTAATTTTGTTATTTTTTGTCTAAAAATCAACCAATTTGAAAATATATATAGTGAGTAGAATTTATTAGAAGCAAAGTAAATTGATAAAATTTTATATTAAAATTATAGTATAATGACAATTTGATCTTAATCCTAATTTTGTAAAAAGCTAAATTCATTTTCCAAAATTTGAATTTCCAAACATAACATTAATGAATTCATATATGACATAAAGGTATGGCAAAATCCCTATAATAAACTAAATTCACATTCTCCAATATTTATATTTTTAGAATTTCATAATTTGAACTTGCAATTAAGAAATATGGATAAATATAATCAATCTAGGAAAATTTATATGGCTCATATTTCTAGCTTGAACAAAAAATTTTAATTATTATTATTTTTTATATATTGTTTATTAAGATTGTAGGCTTGCAAGAAGTCACCCATAAAGCAATAGAAACAAAAAGTTCTAAGCTTACAAGTAATATAAGTAGTCAAGACTCATGTACCTTTTTTTTTTTTTTTTTGTTTACAAATGAGATTGTAATTTGAATATAAAAAAAAGATTGTAAGTGTTTGAATTTAAATTTCATTTTCATTGGATGTTATTTTTTAAAAAATAATTATATAAATAAATTGAATTAAGTTCTAAGTACAAAACTCACATACTTTGCTTAATAAATAAGTTAACCAAATTAGAATGATAAATAAATACAATTAAAAATGGAGAAAAAACAACTTTTAATTTTCCTATTTTGGATCAATCAAGTAATATTTTACATTTTTTTTTCAAATTATACTCTAAGTTAATTCCATTGATACTCCAATGTTGTCTAATTCTCATTTTTCTTTATTTTCCAATTATTGGCAAATAAAACTGAGAAAATGTTTAATTTTATATAATAAAAAATTAATCAAAATTCAGTTATCCCTTCCAAAAATACGAACGAAGTTATTTTTATTGATTCTAACCTTGCAATTTAATGAGATGTAAAATTTTGATTATTCTAAACTAACAACTTAATTAATCTTTCTTTTGTATAATTCACCTAAGAGCCCGGGATTTTCGACTTATCAAAAAGTGCGTTTTATAATTGGATCTCTCAAATGGACATCACAAGAATTTGGAAGTAAAGAATGGTATATCTTTGAAGAGGAAAAGTTAGAGAATCTAAATGTTACTCTCTCACCAAGTACAGAATGTGTATCATTTTGTTGCTTTCATGCAACTCAAAATAATAGAATCAGCTTTAAATTTAGATTACTTCATAAGATACATAAATTAGAGAATAAAACAATACCCTTTTCTCTTTTCCTTTTTTTCTTTTTAAAGCAATATTTTTTTCTCTTTCTCTTTCTCTTTCCCTTTTTCTTTTTATTCTTTTATGTTTATATCTGTTGTCTTATTTTTCATTTGTAGGTGATTTATCTAATTTTCTCTTCATAATTAAGTTAAAATTAATTAGTAATTTTTTAACACTAATATTTACATATAAATATTATAGTAAAAACGAATGTGACATATCAAAGATGAAGAACAGTTCTATACTTATTTATATATAATTGCAATTTGACAAGATGTACTAATTTATTTGTATTGCTTTAGTTGAACAAATCTAAGTGTATCTATTGTTTTCTTCTTTTCATTAGAAAAAGAGTGAAAACATGAATAAGTAAAAATTAAAGGGATCATAGCTTTTATTTTGAATTTTAGAGCCCTAGCGACAAACAAAGTTTTTCCAATTGCTTCAGAAAAAAAAATGTTACCATAACTGATTAAGGATACAATTTAAGGATGTATTATTTAAAAAAAAATTAATGAAAAACAATACGTTATATACATTTAAATAATATTTTTATTATCTTTAATTAATATTTATAAACATTTATTAATCAAATTTTTAAAAATTAAAACAGTCCAAACATTAATAATTTTATCATTGACATTATTTTACAATAATATCCCGATAAAAAAAAGTTTAATTTGATATTATATGTTATTTTATATAAAAAAAGGAATATAATGATTTTTTTTTATTATTTAACCAAACAATAATTGTTAAGACTTATTTTCTTTCTTTTTTTTTAATAATTTTAGCTATCCAAATAAGGTTACATATATCTTTTCATTTCATTTAAAAAACATTCATTTTTTTTTATTAATGTTTCTCCAAACATAACATAAATTCTTTTATTTTACTAATGTTTATCCAAATATAATGTAAAATACGTTAAAAAAAAACATTTCCTTTACTTATTTTCTTTTCATTTACTAATGTTTATTCAAATATAATGTAAATTTTTTTTCTTCTATTAATATTTATTCAAATATAATTAAAATACGGAACTACACATGGTGTATAGTTGACACTTAATAGATAATGCTACAAAAAAGTTGGATACAAAAATTTTGGGACTTAAAATTATGTTTAATATTTTATTTAAAGGATGGGATTCTAAATAATTCATAATTTTAAAGGATAGGATTCTAAATAATTCATAATTTTATTTAAATTTGGTTTAATATTATTTTTAAACTATTATAATATATATTAACAAAGTTTGATTCTAAATCTAATGCTTAAAGAGGGGACAAGCAGCACCAATGCTGGAACTCGTTGGTAAAGAATGGCATGTCGTTGGAAAAGAGAAAGTACATTCCCTGAAACATTGTAAAGGAAATAATCTATGCTTTTGTTGCTTTCTCTCTAAACAAACTAAAAGAATCGAATTCAAATTTAAATTCTAAACTTACAAATTACTTTAAATTTATATTATTATATTAGATAAAATAAAGATACTAAAGCAATATTCTCTTCTTTATAGTCTCATTGGATTTTTTTTTTAAAATACTATCAAAAGTGTCAAAAGAAAAAAAAAAGAGGGGTAAAGAAGTCTTGTGATGTTTATTTCCAAGATTCGAAGGAAAGAACAAGTAATGTCAAAATCATAGCGATCTTAAATGCCTCCTCAAAAATAATTTTTTCACCATCTTAGACACAATCCCACTTTGAGAGTTGAGAGAAAAAGAAAAAAAAGAAGGAAGATGGAGTCACAACATTTTGGGCACTCACATCCATTGATGGTGTCCAATGAAATCAAAGAAGCAAATTGCTCAAGGTGCGGTGAGGTGGTGTCGGCTCCTACCCTTTGTTGTGTTGAATGTGGATTTTACCTCCATAAAAAATGCGCTGAGGCACCCTCTGAGATTCATCATCCTTTCCATCCTAATCATCCTCTTGTTCTTTTTCCAAAGCCACCATACAAGCGGGGAGGATGTCCTTGCGATTTTTGCGGCCAAAACTGTGAGCTCTTTGTTTATCATTGTCCTTGTAATTTAGACTTTCACATCAAATGTGCTTTATTTTCCCTTAATATTGCTGAAAAGAAACTTGGAGAGCTTGAACACGCAGCCATCAAAGATCAATTAATCTCCACTGAAGGTGGTCAAAAGGAACTTGAAAGGGCCAAGTGTTTTGGGTGTTGGGAGCCATTATTAGGATCTGCATATTTTTCTCTTGATTCTGGGTTTCACCTACATAAGAAATGTGCTGAGCTTCCTCATGAAATCAATCACCCCCTTCACAACAAACATCCTCTCATTTTACAGTTTAATGGTGAACGTTTCTCTTGTAAAATATGTCTACAAAAGCCATCTTCCAAGGGATTTATTTATTTTTGTTCACCTTGTAAGTTTGCCCTTCATATTAAATGTGCCGAGTTACCTCCTCAAATCAATCTCCCTTGTCATCGGATACATCCTCTTATTTTACAATTTAATAGTGAAAACCTCCCCTGCAAGATATGCCAAGAAACCCAACTTCAAAAATTTGTTTATTGTTGTTCATCTTGCAAGTTTTCCCTTCATATTGAGTGTGCCTCATCACCGCTTACGATTAAAGAAAAAAATCACCAACACCCATTCATCTTGTATTGGAGACGACACTCGTTCATTTGTGATGCATGTGGCCTCAAGGGTAATTATGCTGCCTATATATGTCTTGCATGCGACCTTCTAATCCATAAAAAATGTGTTTCACTACCACCCATCATCAAAGTCCCACGACATCACCACCCCATTTTCCACAACTATTTTCTTCCTGAGAATGAGTTCAAAAACTGGCATTGTGAAATTTGTGATACTGAAGTGGATATAGAGTATGGGAGTTATTGTTGCCTGGATTGTAATTTTATTGCCCATGTGAAATGTGCGACAGAGAAAAAAGATTAGTACGTTGTAATTTAGGCAAAAGATGAAGATGAGAAGCTTGATGATAATGATGGTTCTATGAATCCCATCACTTGTGTCATTAAGAAAAATGAAAGTGGAGAAATGGCAAAAATAAACCATTTCAGCCATGCATGTAAACATCATTTTATTTATTATTATTATTATTATTTTTTTCTTTTCTTTTTTTGGAACCTTTCTACCTACCGGTGGTAGCCGCACTGCCAACAGTTCTGACAGCCACCAACAGTCGTTTTAACAATTGGTAGCCACTCTAATCCTAGGTAGCCAAAATTTTAAAATTTTTGGGATTTTGGTCTTCCTTTTTTACTATATAAATAAAGCCATAAAAATTACAACAAAGGAGAGGAACCCTGCGACAAAAACCCAGAAGCCCTGTAAAAAAAAAAAAAAACTGCCAAAAAAATTTTTTGTAAAAAAAAAAGAGGAAATCAAACACAAAAAAGAAAGAACAAAAACACAATCCATGGACGGGATTTCAGCGCTAAAAAAAAGAGAGAAAAAAATAAAAAATTATTTTGGCCGAATCTTTCAGGTCAGATCTACGCGGTTTGATGCCGTTTCTTGGAAAACTGGGCTCAAATCTATGTTTAAAGAGTTGAGAGGAAGATATTTGGTGACTTTGGGTTTTTTTGACAATTGGCGGACAACAGATGGTGACGACGATGGCGATTGACGAATAGCATGACGTAGCAGCCGTCAGGTTTTGGGTTCTAAAAAGAAAGTGAGAGCGTTTGAAAAGAAGAGAAAGAAAGAGGAAGAAAAAAATAAAAAAAAAATTGATTTGGCCTTTAAATAGGCATTCAAAATGACGCCATTTAGGCAGAAGCAAAATGACAACGTTTTAAGCTCAAGATGATTCGCATGTCAACCCTGACCCCATCTAGGGTCTACGCATCTAACCGTGACTCGATTTTCCCTCATCTTAGATCGGTCCAATTAAATTGATCTTGAACTGCCAAAAAATAGTCCAGATCGCAGTTAATCGATCCACCCAGACTAATGTTGACCAAATCGTTGACCGATCCGATTCAGATAAATATTTTTTTATTTTTAAATTATTTTTATTATTTCAAAATTTATTATTAGTATTTATGCATGTTAAAAAGTTTAAGTTATAATAAATTTTTGACGTAATAAATAATTAATCAAATAATAAAAATAAATGATGAAATATAATAAAAATTTTTGATAATTTTGTTAATTTTAAAATAAAGATTATAAAATAAAAAAATGTAAGAAAAGTAATTTTTTATCGACGATGAGATTTAAAGGTACTCTGAGTAGTGATACTTATAAAATCTCTAGGTGAGAAGATTTTTTTAAAATACTACCAGCATATTGAAGTATTTATAAAAAATTTTCAATACAATAAAATTTTTTTTTGTTACAAAATAGTAAAAAAATATTAATTGATTTGTAAAAAATAGTAATTATAGATAATGAAAAAGAAAAATTTATCCAAGGATGAGATTCTAAAAGTATTCCGAGTAGTGACGCTTTACGAAATTCCTAGGTGAGAGGTTTTTTTTAAATATTACTAGTGTATTGAAATATTTATAAAAAATTTTTCATATAATAAATTTCCTCTTTTCTTCAAAAATTTAAATAAAAAAAATCAAATCAATAAATCAATAAAATTCTAAAGAAAGAAATAAAATGTGTGCATCAACATATTAGCATTTTGCATTACACGCTTAACATAGTTTTTACACGAAAAGAAAATATGAGCCTCCAAGGATAAGATTCTAAGGTATTTCGAGAAGCGATGCCTAAAAAATCTATAGGTGAGAAAGAGTTATTCTATATTACCAACGTACTATAATATTTTAAGAAGTATTTCAATAAAAGGGTTCTAATTTATCTTTTTTGAATAAAAATGAAATAATAAAAAATAAAAGATATTAAAAAAAATAAATTTTCAATAAACAAGAAAAATTAAGGAAATTATTTTTCGAATACTGAAAATAAGACTGTTTTTATCAAAATCAGTGGATAAAACATAATTAATTGGTATCATTTTAAAAGGGTGCTGTGAGAGTGCTGATCCTTTCTCACGTATAACCGACTCTCGAACTCAAGTTATTTCGCAGACCATAAAATTATCTTTTTAATAAATTTTAATTTTAAAATTTTATTAGAAGGATATGTTTTAATAGGTGACAAATTGCAACTAGCCAAAAAAGATTGGTGGCGACTCCATTTTTTTTTTCGTTTCATTTTTAAATTCGTCGTGTGGACACAAAATCGTTACAACAGCTTGATGACTCCGTTGGGGAAACCATTTGTTTTCGAGAGTCAAGCCAAGTTAACTATGTATTATCCTTAAATTTTGGTTTAAACAATCTTAATCAGTTTTAATTTTAATAGCTTAGATTCTAATTTTATTTCTAAAAACATAATAAAAAAATAAAAAAACAAATCGAAAATGAAAAGAAAAACGAAAAGAAAAAAATTTTGCAAACAATTTTTTTATTCTTTTTTTCTGTATGTATTATTCTCAATAAATTAAGAAACATATGCACACACGATGATACATTGCACCTTACGCATAAACTCTGTTCCCGAGCTCCATCCCTTATAGGAAGAATAAAGTACTTATGCTCTCGTGAGATGATAACTTTTGTAATAGAAAGTGAAATATTTTCACTTAGATTGAACCCTTTTCATTCATAGCCTGTAATGGATGAGGATCAGGGTACCTTACTTGTCTAACATGGACGATAGTGAGAAATAATTTAAGAACCCTTAGACATGTGTCAACCAGAACCAAGCATATAATAAGTATAGAAAGATAACCTTAGGTAGAGCATCACCCACCTTGTTTTGTAAAAAAAGCCCAAGTCCCAAACGTGTAAGGATAAAAGTAGAAAACAAAACAAACAAAAAAAAAAAATTTTAAATATTTTTTTGATTTCAAACCACATCCTCATGCTAACTCAATTTTATTTATTTATTTTTTTTTTACATAAATCATATCATACAGTTCTGCATTAAGGTATTTGCTCTAGAATATCTTTCTCTTGAAAAGTTCTTCATGGATCCCATAGAACTACATATTTGCTCATCCTCTCTTAATGTCCCATACGAGTCATATAATGAAGTACATGCCTAGTTGAAAGAAGCCCAGCAAAAGAATGGAGACTACTTACCTACTAATTATATATTAGAGTTGCCAGAAAAGATGCATTTATATCTCACACAGAATAATTTAAAAAACTTAGCCACCATCTGGGGTCAGTTGAGTAAAGAAAAAAAAAGCTTTTACAAAAAGTACGACATATTACATCTCTCATTCTAGTAAAGATTGATGAACAGTTGATTAGGGCAACTATATAGTTTTTAGATCTGTCTTATAGATGTTTCACTTTTAATCAGAAGGATTTGATACCAACTATTGATAAGTATTCAATTTTGCTTGGGATAAAACTACAGTGTTTAAATAAAGTGTTTACCCGAAAGCCAAAATCAAGTTATTCCAAAAAGTTGGCTAAGCTTATGAGGTAAAAGTAAAAACTATAGATTCTTTCGTAAAGCCTAAAGGTGAACATCTCAGTACCTATTGGGACTTTCTCTAGAATTTCATTCAAGGGCATCTAGATGATGATCAAGGTATGGCTGTGTTTGCTTTAACATTATATGGCATAGTGATCTTCTCGAAGACTTTGGGTTACATCGAGATAACTGTGATGGACTTTTTCAAGTTAATTGAGACCCAAGCAATTAATCTCTCACCAATAGTTCTAGCCGAAACCATCAGGTCATTGAATTTCTATCGACAAAATGAAAAAAAAAATGGTTCATAGGGTGTGCACCATTATTATATGTATGGGTCAAAAGTCATTTCAAGTGCGGGAAGAGTCAAAGCCATATCTTCAAAACAAGGCACCGATCGAATAGTTTCACAAGAGCCAATGGCCAGCATTAAAAACTAAAAAAAAATGGGTTTTATTCTTGTAAAGGCTTACTGGGGATGAAATAGAATGGATGGTGCCTTGGATGCTTGTGTGCCCATGTCGTATCATAAAGGAAACAAACCATGAATACTGTTGTTAGGACTATGGGGTGTTGTAAGTTACACTCCGTTGATGGTGCTTAGGTAATTCAATGCAAAGCAATTTGTTTTTGCTACTCATGGCTTGGTCTAAGTAAAATTTATTTATGAAAAACATAATCCACCAAGAACTTCGGAGCAATTAATCAAGCATGGAAGAAAATATGAAGAATGAGATTAGGGCCTCTTATCAATAAAGCCACCCCTAATTATCAGATTTGAAAAGCGAAGTGACTCAGAAACATAGTTCCCCCTCTTAATGACAGCTCATATCAACCAACTAACCTTTTGACAGAAGTGTAATTATCAGAAATCGAGCTTATCATAAAAGAATTAGAAGCTGAAAAAGAAAAGATAAAAAGAGAAATTTTGAGACTTCACGAAAAGATAGGACAATTCAAATATGAAGTAGAAATACAAATGAGTAGATTAGAGAAGGTTATAAAAGAACAAGATGTGGCCAATAATGATTTGAAAGATCTACACTAAAAAAATAAAAGATTACGAGTCCAATGCAAGACTGAAAAGTCATCAAGTTTTACCTTAGTCGATAAAGCAAAATAGATGAGCTCTAAAAAGAAATGAACTAATAAAAAGATAAAGCTCAAGAAAAACAAAAAAAGGTTACCAAAATTTTTCAGGAATGCCAAAATTGGGAAAGATTATACTCTATAGCTTCAGCATGATTGGTTGAATGCCAAAAAGAAAAGGAAAAGTTAAAGGTTATGCTTGCAAAAGAGAAAAGAAAGCACTTTGAAGTACTGAATGAAAAAGAATCACTTTACCGGGTGATCCAAGGGTTAGAGCTACAATTACAAAATCACAATAATCATATTTCAGTAATAATAGATAAATGACAAAGAAGAAACAAAGATTGGATCTTCACATATGATTTGGAAAGATATCCCAGTATGATATGAAAAGCAGAAAGCTTAGAGAGGTAGCAGTACATAAAGCACCTGACTAATCGAGTTTGTAAAAT